TCCAACCTAATGATTCTATGATTCTATGGTTTAAAACCATTTCAAACATTTAAAATGTAGAGAATTAAAAAAAAAAAAATCTGGAAAATGGGTAGAAGAAACAGAGTCAGAGAACAAGTAACAGCAAAAGTGGTGAAACTGTAAAAAGAGCGTTGAGGAAAGGGTGGAAAGGAAGATTGGAAGGAAGAGGGTGATATTCATGGCAAAAACTTAAATAACTGAAAGGCAGCCGATGTACTGCAGACAAGACTGAGTCTATCTTGGCCTGTTCCTGTAGCCCTGGCATCTGAGTAACTGCTGCCTTCACAATCCAAACTAATCAAAGGCTGGTATCAGCCTTAGTTGCCATAGTTCTGGAGCTTCTCTTCCATATTAATAATTTCCACCCCATTCCTTCTATGTCATTGGATAAGAATTAAGATTTTGTTTGTATCTGTGAGTGCAAGGGAGAAAGGGAGGCAAACATGGTAATACTGGAAAAAAAAAACTATATTAAAATAGTATTTCACAGTCTTACCAAACTCGATGGGTTCACTCCATTGCCCCCAGTTTGAGCTTATGAGGCAATTTTTTCCACGTGCTCTGATTTTCAGATTGTATTTTTTTTTCTCATTGTAATTTTGGAATTCGTAGCTGTTCTTCCTTACCTAAAATCAAAGCAATCAGACTGTGCATTTCACCCCGTAGGCAAATATTAATAAAATTTGGGGTTTAATTTCATGATACAGTTTCTATAAAAAACTAATTTGTATGATTTTGTGGCTATATAATGGTTAAATATTCTCCCCAAATTTAAAACCATGGTAAATTAGTTTATCCTTCCACTGAATCTTTCTGATTTTTGAAGTTTAAAATTGGATTTTGAAGCCTATTTGGTCTTTAATTTATTTTATCATGCTTTAAGGACACTTTTTTTCCTTGCTCTTCTGTATGGATCCTACGAAGAACAGAAGGACAGAAAGCTGAATCTGGAGAAGTAACCTGTAAATTCACCTTGCAACATTTATGAGGTTTAATCATGCAAATATTCCCTAGATGGTGCCTGTCTTGGCTAAACAGACTTAACGTTTTTGAGACAATCCAGTAACAGATATGTATCATCTGGTCTCATGATACTTTCTACAAAGTCTGGAATCTGTGAAGCTTAAGGTGTTTCCCAGGCTGAGCGGACCACTCATTGTCAGAGAAAGACTGATGGTATGTATTAAATTTCACAGGTTTTGAAGATCTCACCATTCCCTCTGTCTAGGTCTCCTGAACTACAGTTGTATTTTTCCACCAATAGATAGGAGAAAGATAATGTTTCCAATTTTTATTTGTCTTAAGTAAAGTCTATTTGTGTGATAAATGGGAAGTGTGAAGTTTTGTGAAACTCATGAAAAATTCGGCCTAGTTTAAGCTATCCCATCCAAAAGGGGTGTACTAACTTTACATATAAAGACACCACAGGAACATATTTTCCTGAATTCTCATTGCTATATTGATACAAAACGTAGAAGTAACTCTATTTTATGCGACGGTATGTATATGCTTAAGTGGGCAAAAGCACATTTTTGTATATGACAAGAATACTTACTCTTACAGGAGAATCCTTTTTCTTTTTTTCAGGCTCATCCTGCAAACCGAAGACAAATACTAATTTTTAATATTTTCTTGACAAATAATCAAATATTTCTCCCTCTTTTGTTCTAATTTTCTGGCTTATATAGATCATAAGTAATTTTAAACTGAAAAATCAATTGGATATTTTGCTCCAGTAATGTCCCAGAATATAGAATTTTATTCAGATTTTTTGTTTCCTCCATTTCATTTTAGAAAAGGAAGGAAACATGAACTATTTAACAATGGTTGTGTGAAGCTATATTTGCCTCTAAAGGCGTATTTACACTGCGCATTCTCATCCAATAGAAATATATCCAAATTATGCAAGCAATCAAATCATCCTCCAGACACAGCAGATCTAGAAGCTGTGATTTCACAATAGTTTGGTAACGTGGGACAGAAAATTTGTGTGAACGGCAAGTTTACTCTCTTTCCAGTCAAAGTCTCTGTTAGACGTCTGAATGATCCATACTCATTGGCTTTTCCCAAAGTACTGTGAAAAGCTTCTTACACATCCCATACAGTCAAAATGTAATTAACTAGAATCAAACTTTTAACTGGATCAAAGAACCAGAAAATTTTGCAAAAAAAGGATAGTTTCAAAAAGGAGTGAAATTCGACAGCACTGATTTTAGTGAGGATCGCAGAAAATAGTGAAAAGCTGAGGTCCTGGAAACATATGTCGCATGTAACATGAAAAGGATAGCTGGCATTATGGAAAAGTCAGAAAGATGTTATTGGAAGGAATGTCTCATTTCGGAAAATATACCCGCCATGTAGGTTACGTTTTACAGTAGACTAGTATTTCCCTGTTACTCATTGTCAGCTCTTTCAACTTAGGACATGATGGAAATCATCAGCCGGTGCTGTGAATGGGAGGGTGCAAATGAGTTACTTAAATTTTAGGTGTGCAGTGCCATTTTAGCTGCCTTACTTCTGATTAACTCTCCTGAAAGTTGGGAGTTATATCTGCCATCTCCATGGAGGTACCTCTGGTACCTTCAGTACCTATAGCACCTAAAGGGGAATGAAGCACCTACTGCTCAGCTGCACAAAGCTGTAGATGTGCTTTGGCTGTTATGGGTTATCCATGCTTTTTTCCAGACACCTACATTAAGGTGTCTCAGTCTGTGAGAATTTCACACCTAAGTGTAGAAATCTGCTGAAACCCACCCATTTGGACTGTAGCATGGGAAAAGAGAGGTAAAGTGTATTTCTTTAAAAGAAATGTTTTGATAATATTGCTTTAGTCATATGTTGTAGCCTATGTCTTTATTTAAAACATTCTAAGTATTTCACACAAGATCTTACTGTTGTATTATACCAGCCAGCTGGAAAACTACATGTACTGCAATTGCTCCTTGAAATAGCTACCAAGGTAGATACTATTAATACATGCAAGATACAAAATTAAGACAATCCATACAACCTGCAAGCTGCAAGCCTTATTTTGAACAAATTAATGAGATTTAATGATGTATTGCTTTATTGCAGTTGTAAATTTATGTTTAACCCTTAGCTACTCTTTCCTGTAATGATCTTGTGGCACAAATGCCTGAGGAATTGCTGCTACAGTAAGCTACTGAGCTGTGGCTGGGAAATGGGGTAGTCAGGGAGCACTAATTTGTCACGGCACTGACATCATCCACATGTGGAAATCACGTAATGGTAAAACTTGTATCCCAGGGATGGGGAGGAAGAATGCTATTTCTTGCCTCCTTATCAAACTCCTGGGCTCAAAGAATTTTCCTGACGTTTGTCCTTAGGGGTGTTAAAATCAGTCCTTTAGGCACTGAGGTTTGTGGAGGAGGAGTTGACACCTCAGCCTCTCTGCTCCATTGTACCTGGTGGAAACCAGACATACCTCAGCTATGGTAAAGTACACACTCTGTGTGGTCCTGCACTTTTCCTGTGGTCACTATGGTAAGCTGGCAGTGCTATGCCTGTAGTGTAGGAGAAATCCCAGCTCAGTTTTAGTACATACATGCTTACATCTAAGATTGCGATTTTAGGTTCCTCTCATATAGCCAATGGAAAGAAAGAAGCACTTTAGGGACATGATTTTTCTGTCATCTGCCTTGGAAGGAGATGGGTAACACCACACCTGACTGCAGAAAGAATAGAGGGTAACTGACTGAAAAGCAAACACATCCATTGCAGACATCTACCCTGGGCCTGTGTGAGTTCTCCCCTGAGTTGCTGGTATCTAGTTTTTCAGAAGAGTGTCTTCTGTTTCAGCGCTCCTTTCAAAACGGAGGATTTGGGAGGCACTGCGTAGACAGGCAGGGGTTGGGTTGGCTTAACCAGGCTCCAGGAGAAGAATGGCATCAGAGTGAGGGCTGCCAAAGGGCAACGGATGGCGGGAGAGGTGGTGGAGGAGAGGTGTGGAGGCTGAGAGGGGCAAAACGGTCCCATGTGTTGAAATTGAGGGGCAGCTGTGAGCTTTCCAGTGCCTGTGAAATGCTATCAGGCTAGCTGAAGTCGAGATGCCCTGGGAAGCAGTGCAAGCATGAGGGGCCCTGGCCTGGGCTGGGGGCTGCCACCAAGGCAGTGCCCTCATTGCAGGTTGCAGGCTGCCATCACACGGTCATCTCTTGTGAGATGTGCTCATGCAGGTTCCCTCCCAGTCTTTGGACAGACACCCCTCATAACGTTTCCCTGCTCTCTGCTTTTCTGCTTTGCATCTCTGATTAGTTTGAAATAAAGTCATGAGCAGTGGAGTGTGAGACTAGCAGAGCTAGAGCAGGAGGACACCACAGCTTATGAGAGAGAAGTTATTAAGTAAAGGAAACAGAAGTTTGTGTTATAGATATGTATGTACATAGGTACGGTGAAAAAAAACAAATCAAGAAATTGCTTTTACCTTATTTTGTATGCTAATTTCATACTGAAAACACCATATATTTTCCACATGACTTGTAATGGGTGGTTGCCATGTAATTATGCAACCCTCTGAATCTCTAGTACAACTAGCAGTGACATTTAATGGAGGAGTGAGGATTTCTGGAAAGAAATGGAATAATTAATGTAGGCGTGGTCAGTAATCAGCCACAACTCGTGTTCACAGCAAAAGACATGTGAAGTTGAAGCAACAGATGTACAACTGTGTGCTACTGATGTTAACAAACATTACCTGGTAAACAAGTAAAATACAGTAGCAAAACTTGGGAATATATTACTTTGGTTGTTGGATATCTGAAGTAACTGAAGTTCATGTTAAAAAATAAGGATTTTGTATAATTCAGTAGTACAATCAGCAGAGTGCCTTTTCTTCTGCATCTAAATTTCATGTTGACAATGCAAGTGTCCATAGGAAAAAAGATGGAAGTTTTTGTGCATGTGGTATTATTCATGCAGATTAAGTCATCTGAATTTCAGTGCCTACAATATACTTGACTAGGTGTGACCTAAGTGTCTAACCATTATAGTCAGTGGAGACCTCATCGGTAGTGCCCATGATGTCTGCAAAGCTGTTTGGTGCGCCATGGAGCAGGTGTGCTCATCTGAATAGGTCTGGGCTTTACAGCCTGCATCAGCTCCAGGCAGGAGTCAGTCTCACACTGTACATTTCAGACCGTATAGGACACCCAGGAGGACCCTAGTCTCTCACAGGTCCTGGGCCACATCTGCAAGCCTTGTGGGTGCCTCAAGTGTCTGAGAGTGTCTCAAATGGCACTAGAGGCATGTTTTTAGGCAACTGAATCATGTCCCAGATCTTTATTGGAGCTCAAACACCTAGCTCACACATAGGTACCCATATATTTAACTAAGGCAATTTTACTTTGCAAGTTGAACCCTCCCTCTGGTTTTAGGACACGTAGCTCTTGTGGCTCTGAGAGAGGCATGGAATTCAGGGATGGCAAAATGAGCCCATCAGAAAGGTGGCTTGAAAGTCTGACCATTGCATTTCATCACTTGGATTCCATGGATATGTTTACACTGATTCTCTGAGCAGTTATTTCAGGCTGCCTCTGCCTTTGCTTGTTTTAGTTAATTTTTGGAACTATATTCTGTCGACTATCAGGAGCAAAGTCTGTCCTGTGGTGCAAGATCCTGTGATGGCTACAGACTTTGTTTTATTCTTCTTTTCTCTTCAGAGAAAATTCCCCACTTCCTTGTTTTGCAAAACAGTAATAAAATAAAAATATTTGCTTACCAATCTTATACAGGTCCATGTACTTATCATAGAACTGGATCAGGGAGTCTTTGCTAGACCCATTCACCAGGAAGTAAGCTTTTTCAGTCTCTATCCTCACATTATGGAATCTACATCCCATGTTTCTGCCAGTTTCATCTTTAATATAAAGATCACATTCCGTCACATCGTCATCTCTGTATGTAGCAAGATATTTTAGTTAATCGTGGGCAGTGTGATGCATCGAATGAGAACTGAGACTTCCGTAGACTCAAGCAGACCTACTTACCTTGAGTTCTGCCAGTAGAGAAAATATTGGGTATCTCCTGGAGCATCCCTGCCTGCCTGCCAAGTGCAGTTCATGAGGGAAATGTTATAAATCACACAGGAGAAGTTTTCAATGGCCGACCCATTCATGCCTACAAACACAGGAATATCCTTGATGCGGACAAATTGTGTGACTGCTCCAAGCTGGAGGATCATGGCACATGCTTAAATATGTTAGTCACCTGCAGCTCCAGCTGATTATTGCTTGAGTTAGGCATGACAATTGAGAGAAAGCTGGACTCTTACCTATTTTGACTGCCTCTGAACTGTGAAACCTGGGAGTGAACAAAGTGTTCACGCACGTAAATGAAGGCTCATTGCCTTTTAACACCATCCTTGGTGCTACAGAGAGAAGTATTTCTCCTTTTGCAATTAATGCCCAGGAATCCGCTCCTGAAGCATTTACACACAGCATTTAAAAAGCTGGGACTTCTAAATGTAAGTTTGGGCTTTTTTCTGCCCTCCGATCAAATAGCCTCCTAGCTAGATCTTTCCACCCTGATATGTGTGACAGTGACTTGATCTCTTCCTTTTCTGGAGCACATTGAATAGGGAACCTCGTTTCTTTGGAAGCTCCCTTGAGGCTGGGCTGTGGAGGTGCGGTCAGCCTCCTTGTCTCTTCTCCTTCTCCCAATGTTCTGCTTCCTTCTGCGGTGTGCCCCAACTTCAGTAAAAGGGTAGAGGCTTCCGCTGCTACTGCCTTCAGCTTCCTCCAGCGCCCAGTATTGAGGCCACCCTTGTGGCAGCAGGGGGTAGTCCCCTGGGTAACCTGCATGCTTGGAGGCTAGGGCCAGCTGGGGAGGAAGACCAAAAGCGAGAGGCTTTGAGAGGTAGTGTGTCCTGGCTTCTATTTTGAGGGTCACCATGAGATTTCCTCCATCAAGTCCCCAGGAAGAGATGAGTAGAGAGTCCTTCCTCTGCTCAGATATGAGCAAGCTGCTAATCTCATCACCTCTGTCAAGTTCAAGTTACCCCAGTTATGCACAGCTGCAGGAGAACTGGTGACTGGGCAATTTTAGTGGAGAACTCTGAGTTGAGAAGGAAGGGGAAAACAGGATATAAAAACTTAAGGTTTGGAATTATGAACTTGGGATCTGCCTAAATCCCACTTTGATTAACTCCCACAAGGGGCAGGCTCAGAATATCTCTGTAAAGATTTGCCTCAGCTCAAAGCGTGCACAGCAGCTGAGGGAACCCAAGGGGGGTGGGGAGGTGGGGGTGTGGGGGTGTGTGCGTGCACGTGTGCAGCAGGGCCAGATTAGGAGACTGCTACATTCTGTTGCCCCTAGCTGCTTGTCACTGGCATTCCCTTTCCTCTCCTCCTCCTGTTTCCACACGTTTCACTGTGCCTGGAGTTGCACTTCAGACTGTGCCTTTAGCTAGCTCTGTAGTCTGGCTCCCGAAAAACTCACCTACAGCCCAGCAGAAAAGCATTCAATAAAGAAATGTGTTCTGATACCTTAATTGGTACCAGCCGGAACAGTTACTTTAATATACCCTTAAACTATTGTAATTTAGTGGCATTTCGGAGCCCTAGTGTGAAAGAGAATAATGCAATTACTGATACATTTGTAGTAATGCATCTCTCACAGAATTGTGGAAATATTCATTACAAAGCAAATAATTTTATCAGATCTGCAAAAAAAAATTTTAATAGAAAAAGCGCAATTACCTACTGTGTAAGGAACTGCTTTCTAAGGTGGTGCTTACCTCTAAAAGATTGAAAATGGAGAAAACCTTACCCAGATGGTAGACATTACCTCCAGGGATGAAGCTGCAGGTTTTTGAGATGTTTGTGTTTGGCACTTCAATGATAAAGAATACTCCTTTGTGCAGAGATATGTATTGTTCCACTGGAAACCTGCATAGTGAACTATTCACCTGAAAAAGAACATTTTTTATTTCTCTGTTTTTCCTCTGCTGGTGTTAGAAGATGCTGGATATGGAAGTGCAACTCATAAACTCAGTTCGCATGGCCAAAATCTTGTGTGTATATGTATCTGTTTTAGGCTCAAAAGCTAACTTCAGCTCTTGAGGGTGTTGTAGAACGGAGCTGAGTGATCAAAAGCATAACTACATAAAAAGCTTTGCAGCTCAGGAGCTGGATCCTACACCAGCATGCAACTATTAGAGCAGGTTAATAGTACCCCAGTGACATAACAAGAAGATGGTCAATAAATGGGGGAACCACAATGGAATTAAGCAAAACAGAAGCCCTCATCTGACCTCCCCAGAGGTCAGAAAGGTGTCTAAGGCATTATACTTATAATTTTCAATAAAGATGTGATGTGTTTTTGTAATGTGTATTTCTCATTAAGTCATCTGCTTTGCTAGGCTAAATAAACCATCTCTATCTCTCTGTCAAGCTTCCCACTTTTTTCTTTGGATAATGTGGGCTTACAACACAACCTGTGCTACAGGCATGATCCAATTTACTGGGAAACAAATGAAGAATTTGAGATAATGAAAATCTATGGCAGTGTTTGGGGAATTCACATTTTATTTGAAAGTTCTCTTGCTCAGTCTGTCTAAATTCTCTAGGAGTCTCACTTAGTCTGACAGCACCTTTTTTTCAGCAGCTACATCCCTATTCATGATTCAATGTAGGTACAGTTCAGGCTATCGCCTCCTTTCCACTTTGGTGCCAGAACTTCAGTTCTGTGGTATGCATGGGATGCTCCTGCTGCAGTAAATGCATCTGGGCATTGGTGACAACTTTCTACAGACTCTGACAGATCAAGCAGTAGACTGCAAACAATCACTGATCAGATTTTACCCACAACTGATTCATTTTTTCAAAGTAAGTGAAATTGATAAAGGGTAAAGAAAAAGGTGCAATTATTTATCTCAACGAATAGTAAGTTTACCTCTCTCGGTACACGTTCCATGTCACTGTTCATGATGGTACATTTGTACTTAAAGAAATTCTTGCTGCTTTCCCAGGACAGTTCCATTTTTCTCCAATTCATTTTCACATTTGTAATAGGTGATTCTTGTGCCTCTGCGGAAAGTGTTACAGAGTAAGTTCAGTAAGGATATGGTATTGTTTTTGTTGAATGCAGAGGATAGCATCTGTCAGGCTTAAGATGACAATTGTCAGATTAATTGCAAATATCTCCGATAAATGAGGAATTAAACCCTGTTTCTGAGATTATATAGGCAAAAAACATACTTACCCCCGATGCACTGGATGTCAGCATGCAAGGGATGAAACAGCATCATACACCACCAAATCATGCAAATGAGTCCAAGAGTATCAAACATCTTTTCTTCTCTGCAGAGAGACAACAAAGCCTTCAGGGGGGAAAAAAAGAAAAAACAAAAGTGATGCTCAAGTTTTTACTATGATTTCTGCAAAGCGTCATTTTTTTTTTTCATGGGAATAGTCAAAGATGCTGTCTAATTCACCCTTAGAAAATGTTCTTTAGAAAATCCAAGGAGAGGGTGTTCTTTGAAAGAAATGAGTAGGCTCACTATTGTCTATTACAACACAGCAGTTTGTGATAGAGAGGCCACAAACTCTCGTTATGATACATACACTCACTGTTTTTGGTGCAGAGATCATGACTTAGGATTGCTGTTGTCCCACACATCTATCCTAACCATACCATCAGGAAGTCAGGTTTTCTTACTTTCTGATCCTGTGAACATCATTGTGAAATCATGTCAGATTTACCTATGCAGTGATCCAGCTTCTGCTGCAAAGCGAGCAATCAGGCTGGCTTTCAGTCGTTTGTTGAAGGCACCTCTTGGGAAGGGGATGGTTTGGCTTTTGGTTGAGTCAGGGTGTGGATGACTCACTTCTCCGTGAGTGCTCTGTTAAAGCCAGCATCACCACCAGGGACGTTCAGAGCCTGTACCTGCTCCTACCAGCATGTCTTAGGAGTGCATGGGAAATGCCCGTGAGTTCTGAACTGTTTAAGCAAAGAAGGAAGAGAAAGGTCTCACTCTCTGTCAGGTTTTAGTAGGAATTAAATGCTGACCTGCTTGCCTTCTTCTGACTATGGGAAATCTACAGTCTCGCTTGGAAGGGTTTTCGGGCTGATTTCAAGATTTCATGTAGTAAGGCCTTGATAGCCCTTAAAATATTGTTTGGAGCACTTATTCTTTTCCTGGAGCCAAAGATCAAAGCTGGATGCAGACATACTATTGGTTTTGTATAAACTGTTTATCAATTACAGCACTGTTTTCTATCATCTTCTTTTATTTTCTGACCACAGATCAGCTAAGAACAGCATTCCATTCAGAAAAGTACCTTAGGAGATGGAATTTTGATGGGCCTTTCCAAAGGCCATTTGGTACTGGAGAGCCCTGGATTCAGCTGTTTTTCCATTGCCTTGAATATCCCAAGTAGCAGCATTTACCATAAACCTGATGACACTTCTGTCAGTTCCTGACAAACCTGAATGAATTTTTCATTTTTATATGGTGTCCCTCAATTTTCACCTCTTTTTATAGAAAACAGAATACACTAATGTACTTGGACTATCTGAGATGGAGTTAATTTTCCCCACAGCAGCCCTCACCATGCTGTGCTTTGTAGTGGTAGCTAGGAAGGTGCTGATAACACACCAGTACTTTGGCTACAGTTGAGCAGCGCTCACACAGCATCAAGGCTGTCTCTCCAACATTCCTCGCCTCAACAGTAGGCGGGGGGTGGACCAGATCCTGAGAGGGGGCACAACCAGGACAGCTGACCCAAACTGACCGAAGGAATATTCCATACCATATGATGTCTGCTCAGCCATATAAACTAAGTGAAAAGAGGAGGTGGGGAGGCAGGCATTATTTATGTTTGTCTTTCGGAGCAACCACTATATATATTGAAGCCCTGCTTCCTGGGACGTGGCTGCTGATGGGAAGTAGAGAATAAACCTTTTGTTTTTCTTTGCTTTTGCATGCAGCCTTTGCTTTGGCTTTATTCAACTGTCCTTATCTTGACCCACGGGCCTTTCGTTAAATTTTCTCTCTCCTATTTGGCTGAGGAGGGGAGTGATAGAGCAGCTTTAGTGGGCACCTGGTGTCCAGCCAGGGTCAACCCACCAAAGTCCTTTTTGGTGCCCAACATGGAGCTTGACAATGGCAATTTTGTCTTAGGTGTGCTATAGCTATAGTACTTATTAGGTGACAAGCTCCTCTGCAATTCATGGAATTTCTTTGCTGCACTGCTTATCTCTTTATTTTGCTGATCCTGGGAACATGTTAATACAAATAATGGCTATGTGCTTTGCCCTTGCATTGATGACCTTGCTGTGCTGGGGGAGCTGTGTTGTAAAGAAGATGAGGGAATGCATCTCCCTCTCCCTACCTGGGATTTGTGGATGTGGATGGTTTTATTATGCAGGCTCCCAAGGTCCTTGTTCACCCTGTTGATGTGAGCTGTTTAATACTACTAATTAGTACTATTGGCATATTATGGGTTTTGTGGAATCTGGTGTCATCCTGGTGTAAGAGAAGACAAATTTTGCTTTGAGGTGATACTAAAATGTGCCCTGAGGTGGCCAGTCCCTGGATGACAGTGTGTGTGGAAGGATTTGGGTAGCTTCCTAGGACAGTTATCACCTCCCGTAACCTGGGACTTTACACCTGAACGGGCAAGCGACCCTGGCAAACTGACATGCCACCTGATCGAAGAGTGACTTGCCTACTCCAATGAAAACAAGCAGCTTCTAGCAGTGTATTGGGGCTTGGCCTGTGCCTGTTGAGCCACAGTTCAGTACTCTCAGAGGACTGCGGTTGAGGCAGGGACCCAAACTGCATCCGAGGACATCATGGCTGAGATAGGGACCCAAACAACAGCAACCACAGTAATTAACCCAGTAGCAAAAAAGAAACAGTGGACAAGGAGATCAATGGGTCCATATCACTGATTGGTAAGGGAGGAGGGAGAAGAAGGGTTTGATCAAGAAGCCGGTCCTTCAGCAAGGAAAGAAAGAGTGAGAGAAATCAAACAGGAAGCAGAAACTACCCAGTCCTTGACCTCGTCAGAAATTTAAGACATGCGTAAAGATTACAGCTGCCAGCCAAGTGAGTAGATTGCTGCTTGGCTGCTCCGATGCAATTGAGAGAGGAACTGGAAAAGAGGCAGCAATTTAGATTTGCTGGATATCGCTCACAGAATCACAGAATGGTAGGTGTTGGAAGGGACCTCTGGAGATCACCTGGTCCAACCCCCGCTGCTAAAGCAGGTTTGCATAAAGCAGGTTGCACAGGACTGCATCCAGGTGGGTTTTGAATATCTCCAGAGAAGGGGACTCCACAACCTCCCTGGGCAGCCTGTTCCAGTGCTTTGTCACCCTCAAAGGAAAGAAGTTTTTCCTCATGTACAGGTGGATCTTCCTGTGCTTCAGTTTGTGCCCGTTGCCCCTGTCACTGGGCACCACTGAAAAGAACCTGGCCCTGTCCTCTTGACACCCACCCTTTAGATATTTATAAGCATTGATAAGGTCCCCCCTCAGTCTTCTCTTCTCCAGGCTAAAGAGGCCCAGGTCTCTCAGCTTCTCCTCGAAGGAGAGATGTTCCAGTTCCCTCATCATCTTCATAGCCCTCTGCTGGACCCTCTCCAGTAGTTCCCTGTCTCTCTTGAACTGGGGCCCCCAGAACTGGACACAGTACTCTAGATGTGGCCTCACCAGGCAGAGTAGAGGGGGGGGAGAACCTCCCTCAAGCTGTCAACCTGCTGGCCACACTCTTCTTAATACACCCCAGGACACCGTTGGCCTTCTTGGCCACAAGGGCACATAGCTGGCTCATGGTCAACTTGCTGTCCACCAGTGCTGTCCACCAGCACTCCCAGGTCCTTCTCCGCAGAGCTGCTTTCTAGCAGGTCAATCGCTAATCTGGATTGGTGCATGGGGTTATTCCTCCCCATGTGCAGGACCCTACACTTACACTTGTTGAACCTCATTAGGTTCCTCTCCACCCAACTTTCTAGCCTGTCCAGGTCTCCCGGCTCCTCTCAAGGGTGAAGGCAAGATATCCATTCAAGGAAGATCTCGTGAACCCCCAAGGAAAGTGGACTACCACAGATGAAGGCATCCTGTACCTGAGACAATTAGTGGTGCTGGAAGTCATCTACAGTGATCTAGATGATGATGAGGTCTCCAAAGATCTAGAGGACGTCCTGTGCAGAGCCATGTGGAGGAAGGTGCCCCAGCATCATATTCTAACAACTTGGCAGCAATGTATTACCTGTATATGGATACACCAACTGTGGGTGTCTTTCTGGCTCCAAAACTTTGAAGAAAGTCTCTGTACCTCCTCATCCCTATGGGACAGCACCTTGGCTGTCAGATGTTCCCCAAGACATCAGTCCTCTCCTGCCCCCATCAGAGGGAAAGGGAGCCCCAGACACATGCCATGTGGTGCACTTTGGTTCTTCCTGCATGACCAGGGGGAGGACATGAGGAAGTAGGATGGTGAACTTACCTCTAAGCTGGAAGCTCGTGTATGTGAACTGACAGGGAAGACAGCTGTTAAGAAGTGGTCACCCAAGAAGGCTGTCAGTGCAGTTGCTGTAGAAACACGAGAAAGCAATCAGTGATGTCCCAGACACAGAAGAACAGAAATCACCTCCTTGATCCTGGTGAGGGGACTTCTGATCTGACACTGCAAAGGTCAGACAGTGAATGTTCTGACAAGGAACAGGAACAGAGTGTCCCTGCCTTCAGCCAGGAGAAGGAAAGGGATAACCAGGTATACCGGACTCTGTGGATTCGATGGCCTGGCACATCAGACCCACAGAAGTATAAGACTTTGGTAGACATTGGTGCATGGTGTACACTGTTGCCTTCAGGGTATAGGGACACAGAACCCATCTGGATCTCAGGAGTGACAGGGGGATACCAAGAATTGTCTGTGTTGGAGGTTGAAGTGAGCTTAACACGTAACAAGTGGGAAAACCTCCCCATTGTGACCAGAGGCCCCTTGTATCCTTGCTGTAGACTACCTCAGGAGAGGGTACTTCAAGGACTCAAAGGGGAATCAGTGGGCTTTTGGTGTAGCCACTGTGAACACTGAGAAGATCAAACAGCTACCCTGCCTTGCCTCTCAAAAGATCCCTTCGTTGTGGGATTGCTGAAGAACAGCAGGTGCCAATTGCTACCAGGATGGTGCACTGGCAGCAATATTGCACAAACTGAGACTCCCTGACTCCCATCTGTGAGCTGATGCATCAACTGGAGAGCCAAGGAATGATCAGCAAGACTCACTCACTTTTTAATAGTCCCATATGGCCAGTGCAGAAGTCTGACAGAGAGTGAAGG